CGCTCCTATTCCTACATCACAGGAAATGGGAAAGCTCATTGTGGATTATCTGATATCTGAGGGCTATAGAGAGGCGAGTTGATTTCTGTTCAGCAGCATCTTATATAACTTTTTGTCCTCTTTCAAACTCCTTTTCCGAATTTGTGATCTATTTTGTCTCACGAATGCTTTTTTTTAGGCAGCCGAGTTGCTATGTCAAGAGTCAGGATTGGAGCTACCCAAGGATGATATCAAAAATCTGGATGCACGCATGAATATACGCTGTGCAATCATTGAAGGAAGATTGGAAGACGCATTGAGATTGGTAAGTTGTTATCGTTTCTTCAGTGCTTCTTAACGAAATTCCACTTTTAGGTGAAAGAACTCTGTCCTACCCTTTTGGACGAGAATCGAGAGGTTCGCTTCCATTTGATGCAGCAAAATATCATAGAGATGATTAGGAGAGGGTCAGTCTACTATTTCGGATTTCTTATGATGTTCTCGATAGTTTCTTCTTATAGAGAAATGGAAAAGTCGCTGGATTACGCTCAAGAAAATCTATCAAACGACCCAACATTAACCGACTCACAGCTGGACAGGTTGGAGAAGACGTTTGCGCTGTTGGCGTTCGAGAAACCTGCCGAAAGTCCTTTTGGGAAACTGCTGGATCAGTCGCAAAGACAAATGGTATGATTTTTCTGTAGTTTTGATTTTAACCTCTACGGATTCACCGCTTTCTCATTGTGCTGTAAGCATGCAGTTTTGGAAAGAAATCAACTTTCTCGCCTTGGAAAGCGCCATAAAGTTTGTGGTATTCTGAAAAAATTTCTCTGATCTGCTCTACAAAACTTTTGAGCTTGCTGAGCCAGTTCTCACTTCGTTTTCATTTATCCTGATCTCATTTTTTGAACTGCACAACAGCGCTTTTGTTTGCGAATGTAAAGTGTCTGGCTGTACCTCGACTAGCGTCATACATGACATCCAAACATTGTCCATAGTGTGGCTAACTGCTTTATTGATCCATGCAACGAGCAAATTTTGGCACATCTCTGTTTCTTTAGCACTCTTCTCTCTGACTCCTGCATTTATTTCCATCGTTATGTCTTTCTTCGAGTGACGAGCGTTTTGTAGCAATGAGATATCTTAGAGGGGTTTGCACTATGTAAGTCGAGGGAGTTAGAAGATGTTTAAAACTAACGGTGTCTTTCCTCTGCAAAGCTTCATCTTTAGTATCCCTGGATGGTCCAGCGCCTGTTCTTTCTGCACCATTCTGTCGTTTTAGAGTGCATTTCTTTTTGCTTGCTAAATTTTTTGCTGCAACTTATACGGGACCCTTTGAAGTGGAACATTTGAGTTCTTTACTTTTTGTGACCACTGTTAACGTCACGCCTTTAGCATCGGGTCTCTGTAAAAGCAATTTTGACACGTTGACAACTGAGCCATTTGGGCGAAACTCTCATCAACGTACTTCGCGCATTCTGCGCGTGCATATGCGAGTATAAATCACTATGTGGAAGTCTTCTTGATACTCATCCATTAAACATGTGTACTTTTTTCTAGAAGTACCTGTATTGCAGAATATCACCAGGAAGTACACATATGGAGATTACATCGATTTCCCTCTGAGTATATCATGCAATGTCTGTGTTTCAGAAATCTCCCTTGGAAAAAACCTTACAATATTGGCGGTTTTGCTTGAGTTCATCCTTGATTTCCTACAATACAGCTATACGGAGTTTTCGTCTCTTTAGACCTAATCAGTATAGCCAACACATCAAAAATGGACTGATTATCTAAACTTGCGTTCCAAACTCCTGGACATCTATAGCGATGCCCAGTGTTCTATGTAAAATCAGGCCACCAGTAGTATTACTGCATAAAAGCTAAGCTATCTTGGAACTCTTTGTTTGCACCTGAAAAGTGGGGAGTACGTAACTTGTACTTAAATCCTAACCGGGAACCAGGGCGTGCATACACGCGTACGCACGCGGTCGCCCACAAGTTACAATGTTATGTTAAATATGTTTTGTTGAGTTGCTGGGTCTTTGTGGTCTATCTTTGCGTTGCCTGGAGATTTGTAGAATTCA